TGTGTAGACCAGGCTGGCCTTGAATTCACAGAGATCCGCCTGCCTCTGCCTCCCAAGTGCTGGAACTATAGGCGTGCACCACCATGCCCCGCCAAAAATTATTTTTTATGTGTATGAGTGTTTTTCCTGCATGTGTATAAGTGCACCTGTGTCATGCAATGCCTGTGGAGGTCAAACGAGCATCAGATCCCCTGGCATTGGAGTTATAGACAGTTGTTAGCGGTCATGTGGGTGCTGGGATCTGAACCCAAGTCCTCTGCAAGAGCAGCCAGGGCCCTTAACCACTAACCCATCTCTCCAGCCTCTGTTGTATGTTTTTAAACAGTCTTATGTTGCTCAGGCTGACCTTATATTGGTGGGTTCAAGTGATCCTCCTACCTCAGCCTTCCAAATAGCTGAGACTGCGAGTGTGTGCCAATCAGAGCAACTCAAGTTCCCTTGAGACTTCTCCAACCTCCTCTAGGTCTCTTTCCCACCTAGGTGGCCTGACGCTGGTTACCTAACAATCACAGTCCCCAAAGATCTGACATCATCCACTGAAGATTCTCCCCAGCACAGCCAAAGGGACCCTAGGTGTAGCCTGGGATGATGGCCGGGGCATGAGCCCCGAGAACAGCCAGCAACCCATAAGGAGGTTGGGACACAGGACGGAACAAAACGTGGTGACTGGTGGTGTCTCTGCCAGGAAAGCGGAAGTTTTGGAGCTTTTCAATTTCCCCTAAGTTCCCACAACATTTGTTGCCCCACATTGCCCCCTCTTCCGTACAGAGGGAATTTCCGATTTCACTTCCTCAAAACTCAAGTAGCCAGAGGACCTCAACTTCCGCTTTACCCCCTTCCGCAGTGGACACCCCTTTGGGGCGCCTTCTCCCCTACAGGTCACGTCATGGATGTCCTCCACTGCTGTGTCCATCTCCCAATTCCTGTCCCACTGGCCTGCGGGGGAGGCCAGACTTGCCCCTCTGCACTCTTCCCTCCCGGATTTTCCTCTTCCGGGTTTTCCTCTACTTCCTCTATTCCTGCTTTCCCTCCCAGTGTAGCGGTGAGAGAGGAGGCGGGGCAGGTCCTTCGATGCTTCTGGGGTTCTGAGACGGTAGAAGCACTACATTGGGGAGCGCAGTTGAGATGCTGGGGGAGTCTGGGAGTCCACCGGTGCTGGAGGGTACTCATGCTTAGTACCTCTTCACCCCCGACTTCGGATCTTCCCAACAGCAGCACTTCCAGGAGCCACCTGGGGGGAGGGGAGGGGGCCGGAGAGAAACAAGTGCGGTTGCCACGGCACCCCAGCCATGGGCTCGCGAGATTTGAAATCAGCCAATGGGAAGCAAGAGAGGACGTGGCACGCGGCGCTAGGGGGCGTGACATGGAGGGCGTGGTCCGGCGAGACTCCGCCCCCAGACCGGCTCGGAGGCTGTGGGACGCCAGGCTGAAGCCTATAAAGGGGCCGCTGGGCGAAGCGCGCGCCTCACTCGGCAGAGGGCGCTGCAGTGAGCTGAAGGCGCTCCCGCCGGTCGTGCAGCCCCGCCTCCTCGCCGTGCGCCTGCGCAGTGCGGGCCGCGCCCCGCCCCCTGCCCCGCCGCCCTCAGCCGGCCGGCCGGCCCCTACTCGGCCGTGCGCCCTCCCTGGCTCTCAGCCGCGGTTCTGTTCCGTAGCAGCTAGCTCGGTCTCCGGCAGCATGTTTAGCTGGGTCAGCAAGGATGCCCGCCGCAAGAAGGAGCCGGAGCTGTTCCAGACGGTGGCCGAGGGGCTGCGGCAGCTGTACGCGCAGAAGCTGCTGCCGCTGGAGGAGCACTACCGCTTCCACGAGTTCCACTCGCCGGCGCTGGAGGACGCTGACTTCGACAACAAGCCCATGGTGCTCCTGGTCGGCCAGTACAGCACGGGCAAGACCACCTTCATCCGCCACCTGATCGAGCAGGACTTTCCGGGGATGCGCATCGGGCCCGAGCCCACCACCGACTCCTTCATCGCGGTCATGCACGGCCCCACCGAGGGCGTGGTGCCCGGCAACGCGCTGGTGGTGGACCCGCGGCGCCCCTTCCGCAAGCTCAACGCCTTCGGTAACGCCTTCCTCAACAGGTACTCACCCCTGAGCCCCCCTCCCCCTCCCCGGCGCGAGGACACCCGGGGCCCCGAGAGAGTGCGAGGGGCCCGGCCCTCCCGCGGCCATCCCCTCTGGCCTTTGTCTCCGAGTGAGCACTCGCAGGACAGTGGCCTTGCAGCGTCCCACCGATGACTACCTGGGAGTCAGGGAAATAGACAGCGGTGACTTTTTGACGTCTGTCACCCCTAAAATCTTTCAGGTTATCAATTGAATTCCCAAACCCTCCCGCAGACCCCAGCCCTATGTGCCACAGAGCCAGGGGCTGCCTGGCCACAAGATTGAGCCATTTACTGCCCTCACTTGGTGGCTTCCTCCGACTGGAGGCACCCAGTTCATTCCTTCCTATCAACCTCTCTCCCTTTCCTCCCCGCGGGAGTCTGTCCCTTAAGTGTCATGGGAAAACCCAAGACTTAGATTAGTTTCCTTACTGGTGCAAGACTACTTCACATCCCCTGGGACCAGTGGTTTTGTGTCGGAGGGGACAGGGAGGATATGCTTTGGCCTGCTCATTTGGGGGCAGCCCCTTTGAGTTTCAGCACCCCTCCTAATGGCTGATCTTCATAAGTCAGTGCTGCCACGAGGGGCACTGGGAACCCCTGAAAGAGCTTTGGACTTGACATTCCACTGCAGAGCTGATAGAAGTTTGTGTACCTTGCTGGTGTCTCCCTTTCCCCAGTTAAAGGAATGAGGTCAGGTTCAGCGCCTCTGGATGCTCCTCTCTGAGGAGTTACAGTGCTCAGGCTCCCTTTTCTCTAAAGGAAAGGTGGAACCCCGGCATCCTGCCTCCACCCCTGAGAGGCATGACAGGACTCTCAGACCCTGCCCTCTGTGCTCCCTTTTTCAAGGAGTGACTCCACATGCCTTTCCATGTCTGCATACTGCCTCAGGGGAAGAACCTAGGAAGGAATCTGAGTCCTGCCTTCCAGGTCTCCGCCCTGCATGAGCACATTCTTCTGCAGACACTGTCCAGCCGCGCAGCTTGTTCCAGAGCAATAGCAGCCGGCCTGCCTCCCTGCACAGAGTTGACCTTTAATGTTGTCTTTTTGTCCCTTCTAGGCGGTTTCAGCCTGTCCCCTTATATGCTGATGATGATATGCTGCTTCTAGGCAGGACTTTGGAAGTGACAGGCTTGCTGTCCCCAACCGTTGCTGTCCTGTCTTTACTAGCATGACGGTGAGGGCAGATCTCTTTGAAAAGAGGAACTGGGCACCTGATCAGTTTTCCACCTTTGGAAATCTAGAGCTTGAGAGCTGGGAGGATCTCATGCACCTCCTCTGTAGCCCCCAGCTCATTGGCTCAGGAAACTGAGGCTGAGGGGACCCAGCTGGAATTGTCAAGGTCACTCCCTAAGCTGACTCCCATGCTGACTGCCTGGTCTTTTTGTACCCACTGTTGCTTCTGCACCCCAGAAGGAGCAACTCAGGAGCACATGGTCAGGGACAGGCACTTTGGCACGAGTGCTGTATGGACATTTCCTTCTTGACACCACCCCAGCTCCAGAGGGTCCCTGCATGCTGGCACCCTCTATGACCGGAGCTGTGTCAGGATGTGCAGAACACGGGTGCCTCCAGCCAGGGAGGGCACAACAAAGGGGGCTTTTCTCTGGCTGATACAGCCTCTGCTGGCACTCTTAAAGGGACCCATTGAGTCATGAACTTTACTTTCTAGCCTTTTTCTCCTGAGTGGCTAGCTGCTCAGATACAGTCAGATGGAGCAGAACGAGGCAGGCCTCAAGGAATCCTGAGTGGTTTGTGACAGCTCCTTGTGTGACTAGGACTGCCCACCTGTCCTGAGCTCAAGTCTTCATCCTTGGAGAGGAGGAACCTTGACTGCCCTGCCTTTCTTGCTTTCTTTCATTACACTCTCTAGGCCCTAGAAAGCAGCTCCTAGACCTGCAGATGTGCCTTTAAAGGGACCTTTGTGTATGTGACTTTCAGAGCCCTTTCTGTCATCCTTTCCAGTCAGTCGTAGGCATCAGAGACCCATTCTGGCTTGTACTGACTTACAGCACTTGGTGTCTGTTGGCACTTGGAGGCAGTACCTCTCACCTTGACCTACTGTCCCCAGCCTGTGATCCACCATTCATTTGGAGGATGGGGCCTCCTCCCTGTTTCAAGGACAACTTTGAGCCTCTGTCCGACAGATATGTATTTTCATGGTTCACGATACCTTTTTCAGAGAGGGTTTTAAGGACCCTTTACTCTGCCCTCTAAAGAACTCTACCCTTTGCGACATCTGATAGCTGTTCTGGGCTGCTCTGAGCTCAGCATGGAGCACATGGCTAAGCCCTCACCAGGGCTCTCCCCTCTCCACTGAGGCTTGCTCTTCCTGGGCTGGCTCTTTCAGGGAATGGTATGTCTTTACATCCCTCCACACCACTGACCATTAGTCATTTAGTGGCAGCCCATTGCAGTCCCTTCACCCAGGGGCTGGGGAGATGACTCACTGGGTAAAGTGCTTACATGGGCAGGCGTGAGGACCTGAGTTCAGATCTCCAGCACCAATGCTAAAGCTGGCTCTGGTAGCACATATCTGTAATCCCAGCACAGAGGTCCTGGAGGCTTGCTGGCCAGCCAGCCTAGCTGAATTGTGGCTTCTAGGTTCAGGGAGAGATTCTGACTCAAAAAATAATATGGACAGGGGCTGGAGAGATGGCTAAGCGGTTAAGAGCATTAGCTGCACTTGCAGAGGACCTAGGATTGGTTCCCAGCACCCACATGGCAGCTAACAACCATCTGTAACTCAAGTTCCAGGGGATCCGACACCCTCTTCTGACCTTCTCAGACATTGTACAACATGGGTGCACTTACATACATACAGGCAGTACACTCATACACATAAATAAAAATAATATTTAGCCGGGTGTGGTGGCTCATGCCTATAATCCCAGTGCTCCTATAATCCCAGCACTCCCAGGCAGAGGCAGGCAGATCTCTGAGTTCAAGGCCAGCCTGGTCTACATAGTGAGTTCCAGGACATCTGGGGCTACAGAGAGACCGTCTTAATAAAACAAACAAACAAACAAAAAAATGGAGCTGAGTGTGGTGGTGCACACTTTTAATTCCAGGACTCAGGAGTCAGAGGCAGGTGGATCTCTGTGAGTTCAAGGCCAGCCTAGTCTACACAGTAAGCTCTAGGCCAACTGGAGCTACAGAGAGACCCTATCTCAATAATAATAATAATAATAATAATAATAATAGTAATAGTAATGTGGAGAGTTAGAAAGGAAAATATCCAAGGTTAATATCTAGCCTAGGTTGATATCTTGCATGTGTCTATGTGTTGTGCCCCTACACGCACAGACACATGCAAACATGTAGACACACACACACACACACACACACACACCATCCCTCTTTAATATATGGGAATTTGGCCAAGTGGTTGAGTTTTTTTGTTACTCTCTTTTTTATATTTATTTACTTACTCGTTGTGTTTATGCACATGCACATGTGTGGGGATATTGTATAACACAGCACTGTGGAAGTCAGAGGATAATCCGTGGGAGTTAGCTCTCTTCTACCATGTGGACTCTGAGGATTGAACTTGGGTTTGCTGGCAAGTACTCCTATGCACTGAGCCATCTTACTGGCCCTATTGTTTTTTGTTTTTTTTTAACAAGGTCTTTGTAGACCAGGCTGGCCTGGAACTTAATTAACATTGATCCCTCTGCTTCTGCATCCTGAGTGCTGGAATTACAGGAATGTGCCATCACACCTAAGTGAAAGTTTAATTTTATCTATTATTTTTAATAATAGTTATGTATATGAGTGTTTTGCTTGCTTGTGTGTAGGTGAGCTCACGTGTGCAATGCCCATAGCGGTACAGTTGTTGGTTGCCATGTGGGTGCTGGGAACTGAACCCGGGTCCTCAGCAAGAGCAACCAGTGCTCTTTTTTTTTTTTTTTTTAATATTTATTATTTTTTGTGTATGAGTGTAATGATTGCACATAGGTGGGTGCACCCGTGTCCTGCAATGCCAGGGGGTGTCAGATCCCCTCAAACTGGAGTTATAGACAGTTGTTAGCTGCCATGTGGGTGCTGGGAATTGAACCTGGGCCCTCTGCAAGAGCACTCAGTGCTCTTAACTGCTGAGCCATCTCTCCAGCTCCCTAGATGAAGTACTTAATGTGGAATTGCAAGGTCTCTGTGCCATACTTGTGTTTCCCTTCGGAAGTGAAGAGGTTTGGGCTCATACAGCTTTCAGTAATAAGTCAGCAAATTGGAAGCTGAACTCCTGAACTCTAGGGGAAGCGGAGGGAGGGAGCTGCTGCTGCCCGTGGGGCCCCTTCTGGTTGCATTTCCACTTAGGAAAATGTACAGAGTCAGGGAAGGCTGGAAAGTTCTCCCATGGTAACTGGCTCAGATGTCACTCTCTTTTGGCATTGCTCTCCTGCAGGTTCATGTGTGCACAGCTACCCAACCCCGTCCTAGACAGCATCAGCATCATCGACACTCCTGGGATCCTGTCTGGAGAGAAGCAGCGCATCAGCCGAGGTAACCAGCCTTCTGGCAGGGAACCAAACCCTGTGCTGCCCTCCAGGTTGTTTCCAGGCCCAGGCTTTGGGGAAAAAAAAAAAAGTATCCCCCTGAGAAGCATGTCGCCTCACCTCCACAGGACTGGCCTGAGGGGCCACAGCCTCCTTCCCCTGCCTCCCTGTGCTCAGGTGTCCAGAGCAGCCCAGCTGATGTCGCAGTCCATTCTGGATGACAGCTGCTTTTGAGCCAGGAGGCATGCTGGGAAGGAGGGCACATGGGGCCTCAGGCCAAATAGTAAGGTGGCAGGAAATTGCCTAGTACCTGTGCCCAAGTTTCCCACCCAACTCTGGCCATTCCCTGAACTCACCTCTGTTTGCATATGAACTCTGCGCCTGCCAGAGTCATGTAATTTCCTAAGAAGTTCAGCTGCAGTGAGCCAGCCAGGCAACAGAGAACCCCACAGAACTGTCTGGCCTGTCTGGACATTGCTGGAAATTTGCTTACGTGTGCTTACCCTTGCTAGTCATCTGCCTCCCAGGGGCTGTGTGCCGGTACAGGAGGTTTCCTGCTGGGCATTGGTGCCCTGGCCAGTCTAGTGTGTCCAACTCATAGCCGGGTTTTGCTGTGCTTTATTTTTATTTTTTAATTTTTTAATGAAATAAAACTTTATTTCTATAAACACAGAGGGGCTGGGACCTTAAGGAAAGGTCTCGCAGGGTACACCCCAGGGTGTACCCCAACACTGCTCAGAGACGAGGGGATTCCCCCAGACCTGGTTGCCATGTTGCTTTGAGGGCCTGGTTCAGTCTGAACCTGGTCTAGGTTGTATTTATGCCCATCTCTTTTGTAGAAGGGTGTACATCCCCCATAAGGCCAGAGTCCATTCTGGGAGGAGTGTGAGGGCTGGCCACAGCAAAGAGGAAAGTGCCTCGCTGGGGGTATAGCTTGGTGGAAGAGAGCTTGTCCGGAGTGCACAGTGGCCCTACTTGTCGATCCCCAGTACCACCAGAGACAGAGCAACAGAGAGCACAGGCGTGGAGGTGGAGAATGAAAATAGAAGCGGGAACAGTGCAGTAGTGAGATGGTCGGTGTGGTAACGGTGCTGCCAAAAAGGCTAACCTGAATGTGGTATCTGGGGCCCACCTGGTAGGAGAGATTCAGCTCCTGTGGGTTGTCCACGGACTTGTGTCTGTACACTGGCATGTACATACCCAGACACACACACACACACACACACACACACACACACACAGAGATGGCTCAGAGGTTAAGAGCACTGACTGTTACTGCAGAGGACCTGGGTTTTGTTCCCAGCACTCACATGGCAGCTCACGACCCTCTGTAACTCCAGTTCCAGGGGAATCTGATGCCCTCTCTCTCTGGCCTCCATAGGCACCAAGGACACACATGTACACATGCATACATGCAGGAAAAACACATATAAAATAAATCTTTAAAAGAGTAAATAAATGTAATAAAATTTTTGAAAGAAAAGAGAACTAAAAAAAGAAAAGGGCCAGGTGTGGTGGCACACGCCTTTAATCCCAGCACTCGGGAGTCAGAGGCAGGTGGATCTCTGTAAGAAGAGCCTGCGTGCATGCATGCGTGTGGCGTACTGACTAATCCAATTTGGGAGGCTGAGGTAGGAAGATTGCCCCCAGCCTCACATGCCAGGGGGGCTTGAGGAGCCTGCTGTTTTTCCTGCGGCCCTTGCTCTCTGGGCTACCCTGTGGTGGAGACGTCGTAGCAGAAACTAGCAGTCTGGGACCCTGGGATTGAGAGAATGTCTCTGCTGCCTGAGGTGGGGCTCTGGATATTTGTCCAGGGCTTGGGGGCCCCAACCATCATGGCACTACAAAGTTGCCCCTTTGGCTTTTTTTTTTTTTTTTCTTGTTTGTTTTTTGAGACAGGGTCTCATCATGTAGCCCAGGCTGATCTCTAGCTCTCCATCCACCTCTCAGCATCCTAAATGCTAGTATTACAAGTGGGTCCCACCATGCCTGACAACTGTTCCCTCTTTCCTTGAAAAAGTGACACTCTTGGGAGTTCAAGGGAGCAGAATTTGGAATCCTTTCCAAAAAGGCAAGGGTCACTTTTTTATTGAAACATTCTCACCATGTAGACCAGACCAGTCTTGGCCTTGAGTTCACAGCGATTCCCCTGCCTCTGCCTCTCGAGTGCTGGGGTTGAAGGCATGTGCCTCTATGCCTGGGTCCCTATTTCTTTTTTGGGGTTTCTTTTTGAGACAGAGTCTCCCTGTAGCCCCAGCTGGCCTGGAACTCACTATGTAGACCAGGTTGGCCTAGAACTCAGAGATCAGCCTGCTTCTGCCACCCTACTACTGGGATTAAAGGCGTGCACCACCATTCCTGGCTTTCTTTTATTACTGTTCCAACCTGGTTTTAAGAGAATGCCTCCTGGGCCTGGTGTTACAAACCTGTAATCCCTGACTCAGGAGGATGAGACTGAAAAACCACAAATTAAAGGTCCACCAGGGCTACTGATTGAGTTCAAGACAAGTCAGTGAGATCTTGTTTCAAAATAAAGAGTGAAGAGAAGAACAGGGGGAGATGGCTCAGTTGGTAAAATGTTTTCCATATAAACATGAAGGTGAGTTTAGGGCCGCAAAACTCCTATAAAACTTGAGCATAGTAATGTGAACTGAGCACTGGAGGGCTGAGATCAGAGGTTCCCTGGGATTTGCTGGCCAGCCGTCTAGCTGAACTAGTGAGCTCATTCAGTGAGAGATCTTGTCTCAAAAAATAAGGTGGAGCTGGGTGTGGTGGCACACGCCTTTGATCCCAGCACTAGGGAGGCAGAGGTAGGCGGATCTCCATGAGTTCAAGGCCAGCGTGGTCTACATAGTGAGTTCCAGGACAGCTGGGGCTACAGGGACACCCTGTCTCAAAAAGACAAAAACAAAACAAAAACAGAAAATAAGGTGGAAACCGGGCATGGTGGCCTTAATCCCAGCGGAAGTTCAAGACCAGCCTGGTCTACAATAGTGAGTTCCTCCAGGCTAGCCGAGGCTACGAGGAGATCCTGTCTCAAAAAGACCATAAAATAAAATAAAAAGAAAGTGGAAAAGGAACTGAGGAAGACACCTGATGTTGACCTCTGGCCTCCACACATATGTACATATATAAACACAAAAGTAAAGCGGGCTAGAGATGTAGCTCAGTGGAAAGCCTTTGCCTAGCATGTGTGCATCCCTAGGTTCAATTCCTATCACCAAAAAGTAAAGGAAAAGCCCGTTAAACATTACTTATCTTGCTAGAAAGCCTTTGCTCAGGGAGGACCTAGGTATTAGAGAGTTTGGGTTCTTGTGGCCCTTGTTTGCCCCCCAACAAGGAGGTCAGAAGTAGCTGTTTCCCTAAAGCCCTATCACTTGCCAGAGCCAGGCTGGAAAATCTGAGTAGTAACTCTGAAAGAGAAAGAACCACAGTGGAAGTTGGTTCCCAACCTGCACCAGGGCCAAGGTCTGCAGCCTTTGTTTGAGGCCCACAGTTATCTTTTGACTGACCTGAGGCTCCCGCAAGCTGGCTGTGTGGTGTGCACAAGCCTCAGATAAGGGACAGTAGCTCACCCTGACAGACTTATGTTGCCAGAATGCCCTGCCTGCGAGGCCTTCAGGACTGGAGGAAGGGATGGGAGGGGAAGGGTTTGAGGTTCCTGTGGCCCTTGTTGGCCAAGAAAAGGAGCTCAGCTCGGAAGTAGTGATTCCCAGGCTGGTGAAGTTCACTTGCTTCTTTGACTGCCACTTTAGCCTGTGTCCTGAGTTTAGCAGGCAGAGCCACATGGCCTTTATGTCCTGGGATCCCTGGCCTGCCACTGGGCCTCCTTGTTGCTTTCCTGTCAGGAGAAAGGCCTGGCAGAATCCAAACTTGCTCTCTGGAAAATCATCAAAGTAATGCTTAAGTAGCCTTGAGAGGGGGATTTGTTTTGTTTTTCCTTTGCTGGAGATGGAACACAGAGCCTCGAGCATGCTAGGTAAGAGTTCTATCCCTGAGACCCCCCCCATCCCCAGCAGTGTTTTGATTGGGGCTAGGGTGGATGCTCCAGATAGGACACTCTTCAAGTAGGCTGCAGGTGATACTGGGTAACAAGCTAATAGAAAGCACTACTGGTCTTGAGGGCCTGCTGTGCTCCTCTCCAGGTGGCAAGTGGGTCCCTGCAGCCAGGTTTCCCTTATCCTGAGGCTCCCTCTGATTGGAGGATTGAACTCACAGGCGGATCTCTGTGAGTTCAAGGCCAGCCTGGCCTACATACATAGTGAGTTCAAGGACAGCTGGGGCTACAGGGAGACCCTGTCTCAAAAAGACCAAAAAAAATTATACCAAGTTAGGATTTGAGGTCAGGTGTTTTACGGTCAGGCAAAAGCTAGTCACATGGTCCTTCTTACAAATGCTGGGTGTGGACTCCAGGGCGGTCATCAGCCCATGGATGAAGCAGGACTGGACATCTCCTCAAAGACCCCACCCATCAGCCCTACTCTGTGTATGCAGAGGAAATTGGAACAGGCCAGCTCATACCCACTCCTTCCCATTGCTTTTGCTGGCCAGAGTAGAAAGCAGGTGTTTCCCTCTCAGAAAGATAGGTCCCTGGGAACATGGGTCTGTACAAGTGGCAGGCACTGCAGCAGTCTCCAGCCGTTCCCTGGAAAACAGAACATCCCTGTAGAGGTTGCTCATCCTTGAACATTGCCAGTTTCATTTGGTTCCATTCCCACCCTGTCCAGGGCCCTCCTAACTTTTTGCGCTTTCTCTGTGGTCCCTCATATGTGCAGGAAATTCCATCTGGAACAATAAGGAGGCACTGGTACAGGCCAAAGCAGTCAGAGCCTCCCCAGGACCCCTGTGAATTATGTTCCCTGGGGTCTCAAGCTGCTCTTGCCCAGTGTGCTAATCTTCTGAGCTGCTTTAAAGATAGCATTCTCCTGTGTCAGCAGAGAATGGTGGCCTGTGGGGACAGCATTCCTTCCTGAATGCTGCCCGTGTGACTGATAACGGGCATTTCAA